CATTCTTATCGTATTGTTACAATATTGGATGACTTGCAGTTTTCGGATATTATAAACATTCCTAGTATGACAACAGTATCACAATTAAATTGCTTGATGCATGTAATTTACGTGGAACAAGACGATAAATGTACCTTTATTTACTAACGAAAAATATTTTTTTAATTTTTAATAATTCAGCTTATGCATCAACAGCAGTGCTGGTAGTCGACATAATACTACCTTTATGGTTAAAGTAGTCTTACCAAGCAGCGTCAATTTTCAGCACCCAAATCACCAGGTGCGCATGTTGATTGGAATCAAGGCCAATTTCAATTTTCCCAAAGGTCCAACACATGTTGACGATCAAATTACGTTCAGAAAAAGCAGCGAAGGGCAAAATTATAGCAAGTTGAAGGTTCGGTCTGATCGACCCAAATGGTATGCATATGAGGCTGAAAATGAAAAAAGGCAAAATAGTCCCGCTTTTTCAACCAAATCTTCATCCAGTTTAACACGAGGCGAATCCGTCCTTCCTTTGACTAAGAACGATTTACCTGACAGTGCTAGCCTCAGTTTACAGACACGGTGGAATTTAATCATGGCACTTGATCACTACATGCGTCCGAGTTGTGAACAAACTTGCGGAAAGGATATATATGTTTCGCAATGGCAGAAAGAGGACGCCATCACACTTGGACGAGGTCAGCTAACCTAGATTGTTTGATACAAGTGGTGGTAAAAGTAGAGATAATATTTTAGAGTAATTCTGGTATATAACTTTAGTTTAATTCATATTACTTACGTAAAGCTTAATAATACTTGGCACAACCGAAGTTAAAAGTCATTTTTCTGCTCAATTCCAGTATATTCACTCTCTATTTACCAAAATGCTAGCTTTTTTTAGTCTATTTATTGCATAATTTATATGTCATGCTGTCTACAGTTTTGATACTGAAGCTAAAATATTTGACTTAGTTATTTTTATTATAGGAGAAGCCTATTGTAAATTGATGAATATTAAATAATTCGGTTCTTAATTAAGATTTTCCGATAACCTTAATAG